CCGTGGCTTGGACCCTTTTACTCCACCCCCGAGCTCTCTTAAGATGGTCATCAGCTTTCTGTCAGCCCCTCTGCCGCGGAGCACTTTGGGCCCTAGCGCCCAGTTTCTCATACCCGCAGTCTGATTTCCTTTCTTCTCGTGACCTAGGAAGATCTTCCTCTAATACTTGATGTCTTCAAGACCCTGGCTGACTTCATTCTACCTCGGCCTGAGTGTCTGGCCTTCTCAGCCCCCCAGTTAAGTGCTATCTGCTCCATGTCCCAGGGGTGACCCCTTGAGCCCTGAGGATGGCATCTGGGGAGAAGCTGCAGGGTGTAGCAGGCCGCCGAGAGCCAGAAGCAGCCAAGCAGGGATGTTGGAGCAGAGGAGGGACAGTTGGTTCTGGGGTCCTGAGGTTGACCTCCGCCCCTGGCCTCCAGTTTCCCTGGGCTGCCCCGCTGACCCTCTGGATCAGCCTGGACCAGGACTGAAACCAGAGGTGAATATTCCTGCCATCTTAGAAAGACCTCAGAGATTAGGCCTCAGACCGGATGGGGGAAGGGAGGCATAGAGAGACCCCAGATTGGACCCCACCTTACAGAGCACGGGCCCTGGCCCTTGAGGCACGGAGGGGACCAGGCTAACAGGGGCACCAACCTCTGCGCCCTCCGATCCCTTTCCACCGGCCACAGGGCCACAGGCTGGACCACCCTGCTTGAGGGGGGAGCTGGGACAGTGTTTATGCAACTGTGGGGAGGCCACAGCCCGGCTGGCAGGACTGCCCGCTCAGCACCAGCACTGACTCAGCAGAGCCCCCCAGCACGTACACGCTTCGACACGCATGCCAACAGACACGGACATGCACACACACAGGTACACACACTCGTGCAAATGCACAGACCAGCGGCACGCACATATACAGGTACGCGCGCGGGCAGCTCACGCACCCACAGATGCACTCACACGCAGAGACACACAGGCCCGCCTGTGGGCACGTGCACCCGCAAACACACGGGGACACACAGAAATGTGCATTCCACCCAGGAGAGGTGGGGGACGAGGGATGCGGAGTGAGGAAACTGCTCACCTCTGCAGCCGAGCGGCACCCTCGGGGTCCCTCCACCCATCCATTCTGACACCTGGACCTACAGCCAGTGACCTGAGCCCAGGAACGACGGCCCCCCTGGGATCAGCACAGCCATATACAACAGGCACAAGGCCCCAGAGGGGCCACGTAACCGTGTCTGGGACAGAGACCTATTCCAAGTGGAGTAGAGCCCCAACAAGTGGGGCCAACCCGCCCCAGCCTGAGCTTATCAGACACAACAGCCCCCACGTACCCCGACCAGCCACCTCCAGCCTTTCCCCCCCTTCCTCCGCAGTCCGCAGAGGATGACTGGCCAGTCTGGGCTGCAGAGTGTCTTGGGGGAATGTGTGGGATTCCGCCTCCCTTCCGGGAACCAAGGGAGCCTGGGAGCACTGCCGGACCATCCTGAAAACCAGAGCAGGGACAAGCATCCTTGAGAGAGCACATATCCCCGGGGATCCGGGACATACGTGAACTCCGAGGCAGGGTCCCTTCTTGCCTGGAGATGACAGGACAGGTGCAACCCCCTGCCCGCAGGACTCCAGCCCAGGGTGGGCATCCCCAGAAAGAGAAGGCTGGGACCTCCCGGTCCCATGTGGCCCCTGGGGACTTTTGACAGGGAGCTCAGCCGTTCCAGGAAGGAAGTGGCTGGGGCAGGCAGGAATGGGGAGGGGGGAAGGGGGCAGGCAGGAAGTGGGGGGACTGCCCAGAAGGTTATCAGTCCCTCACGAGGCTCCCTGCCCTGATTGGGACCAAGGGGAGGTCCTGCTTTCCTGTGGGGGTCCCCAGCCCCAGTTGTCCAGGGAGGCTCGCCAGAGTCCAGCAAGGCCACACATGCCTCTGTTCCCTGCCCAACCAGCCAGCGGGACTCTGCACCATAACGAGCAGACCCTGCAGTCCCTCACCTGCCGCCCCGAAGGGTATCTGGGGCTGGAGTGGACTGTGTGGAGACAAGGAAAGGAACCAGAAGGCCTCGAAAGCCTCAAAATCGGCCCACGATGTTGCTAAGACTGGTTTCAAAGGGACTTGCAATCTGACCGCTTCTCATCTCCACTGGGCCAAGCACGCATCTGCTTCTCTTTCCTGCACCCTCCTGCCTCGTCCCCCTGCTTCTGCTCGCGCCCCACAGTCTACTCTCCCTCCACCTGTCGGCCAGAGTGATGCCCATAAAGAGTCTCCCCCCAGCACATGCCAAAGCCCTTGCCGTGGCCACAGGCCCTTGGTCACCTCTGGGACTCAGGCCCTGCCACCTCCCCATGGCGCTGTCTGCCCCCATCTCAGCGGCCTTTGTGCCCCCAGAAGGAATGTCTTCCCTCGATGCCCACCCAGATGCCTAGAGCAGATGCTGAAGTGCCCCATACAAACGAATGTTCCAGCCTGCCTAGGAGGCCCTGCCCCAGCCAGTGAAGACCTGAGGAGCTGGAGAGTCTGGTTTCCTCATCCCCTCAGCAGGACAAGTCTCCTGGAGGTGCCCAACGGGGCCAGGCCCCCCTGTCCACAGTGCTCTCTGCTCTCGGGCCCCCGTGGAGACTTCCTTCCCTTCCAGTGGCTCTCCCATGCTCCCTGGGGTCACCTCCTGGGGAGACGACTTGCATTCCAGCTCAGTCTCAGCCCTGCTTCTGGGGAAGCGCAGCTAAGACACTCCATCTCTCGTCTCTTGCTTATTTCTCTGCTTTAACAGCTCCCCACTCGCCCCTGCCCTCCAGCCCCCTACCACCACCATTCTACTTTCTGCCTCTATGAATTCGATGACCCAAGGTACCTCCTTTAAGTGGAGTCACACTGTATCGTCTGGGTCTGGCCTATTTCATTTGGCATAATATCCTCAAAGTCCACCCATGTTGTAGCAAGTGTCAGAATGTCCTTCCTTCCTCGGGGCTGGAGAATGGGCCGTTGTGTAGACCACATTTTGTTTATCCATTTATCCGTCGATGCGCACTTGGCTTTTTCCACCCTGGGGCTCTATCAACAGGGGGTTATGAGTATCTCTCTGTCCCTGCTTTCAATTCTTTTGGGAAGGTACTCAGAAATGGAATTGCTGGATCGTATGGGAACGTGTTTTAAAGTTTGTGACAACCCTCCATAGCGTTTTCCGCACCATTTTTGGCGGCTGCCTCATTTTGCGTTCCCACCGACAGCACCCACGGGCTCCAATTTCTCCACATTCTCACAACCCTTGTTACTCCCTGTTTCTTGAGTAAAAGCCCTCCTAATTGGTGTGAAGTGGGATCTCCTGGCGCTTTGGATTGCATTGCCCTAACTAGTGATATCGAACATCTACACACATGCTAATTGGCCATTTGTAGATCTGCTTTGGAGAAATGTCTATTCAAGTCTTCTGCCCGTTTTTGAATTGGGTTGTCTATTATTTTGCTGTAGACTTGCAGGACTCCTTTATATATTCTGGGTATTACCTCCTCTCTTTTTAAGTCTTTTGCCTGACTGTTACCTTCTCCGATCATCCCTGGCCTCCTGATTTAACACGTCAGCCCCTCCCAGCTCTTACACACACGCGCACGCCCAGCCTCTCCCCTACTTGGGTCCCTCCTCAGCCTTTATCGCTTGCTGACACGCTGTGTGGGTGGTGATTTGTCAGGTCTCTGTGAGCTCCGTGAGGGCAGAGGTTTTGACTGTTTTCTCCACTCGGGGTTCGCAGGGCTAGGACAGGGCCGGGCACTCAGTCGGTGCTCCAGAGACTCAGACACAATGAAAGGAAGATGAGACAGCCTCCTGCAGGGACACTCACACCCCTGGCGTATACAACCTCACACACATTGCTGGCACACGCCCCCCACACACTCTCACACTCACGATCCCGACACGCTCGCGGGCAGGCCCCCACACCACGCCAATGCCCACAGGCAGCCCGAGCTGTGCTCGTCTTCAAACCCACTCGCGCAGGCTCCCCTCCCACGCAGACGCGCTCGCGTGCACCCTGATGGAGCTGCCCTGACCTGGGTCCTCCTGGCCTGCAGGCCGATTCCTACCCTGTGTGGCCCACTCCCCATTCGGAGCCCTTGATCTCCCCCACACCCCCTGTCCCGAGGTCCCACAGCCTCTCTGCATGGTGGGTCACCTCCTCCAGGAAGCCCTCTCACTCTCCCCACTGGGCTCCAAGGGGAGGGGAGGGCCTCCCCCCCCCCACCCCCGCAACGAGCAGAGTGTGGGCAATGGGGCAGGGATTTGCGGGAGGTGTATGTACCTCCTTCTGTCATTTCAGGGACTGCACACTTTTCTGCTGAGAAGCCCGGGGCTAGGAACCCACTGGGGACCCCAGATACTGCCCCAGTAAAGCCTCTTCCTCTGGCCTACAGCCACACCGCAGGCACAGTGCCTCAGTTTCCTCATCTGAGCCAGTCGGGAGTCTAAGGCCCCTTCAATTCTGACAGCCTGGGGACAAAGTTAGCTCCCGCCCTGCCATTCATTCCCAGGGTGACTCAGGTAAAGCCGTTCTCTGCTCTGGGCCTCAGTTTCCCCACCTGTGACATGGGCAGCCTTGGGCCAATGCCCCATGGATCCCCGATTGCTGGTGGTGCCACCACCTGAAGAGAGAAGGGGAGGACAAGAGCAAGGGAGGGGCACCCAGCCCTCTTCCAGCTCAGCCCTGCTCTTACCCCAGTGTCCTGGTGGGCAGGCTCGGAGGGTTTGGGATAGTTTTGAGGGGGAGCAAGGAGGCAGGATTTCAGCATGACTCCCCTCATTTTGTCCAGGGCTCACCATGTGGGGCTCATAGATTTTACAGAAATCAACCAAAGGGCCACAGAGGGGAAAGAAGGAAGGAGAGAGGGAAGGGAAGGAAGGAAGGGAGGGAGGGAGGAAGGAAGGAAGGAAAGAAGGAAGGAAGGAAGGAAGGAAGGAAGGAAGGAAGGAAGGAAGGAAAGTAGGAAGGAAGGAAGAAGGAAGGAAGGAGGGAAAGAAAGAAGGAAGGAAAAAGGAAGGAAAGATGCCATTTATTCGTGAGGCCCAAGGGGTGAGGACAGAGATGCACAGCTCATAGGGGGAGATGACAGGCACCCAGAGGTCTGCAGGGCCGGTGGAGGGGGCTGCTGTAGGGGTCTCGATGCGCTCCCCTCCTCCCCGCAACTCCAGGTGGCTGGCGTCAGCACCATGAGTGGGAGATGAACCATCCCCAGCATGGGCTCTCCCTGAGAGTAAAGGTGGGCACGGGTTACAGTGGATGGGATGGGGCGAGACAGCGGGGCGTCAACTGAGAGCTGGAGTCAGTGGAGATGGGGAGGTGGCAATGCGGGATCTGGAAGCTGGGGCGTGAGGGGACAACAGCTGAGGTCGGCGGAGGCCGCAAAGGTGGCAGCAGGTTTGGAAAGGAGTGGAGGTCTCACCTGGGACGAGAGGTTCAGCTGGCCATGATGTGCTTCACAAAGGCTGCAAAGAAGGGCAGAGCGAGTGGCAGGGGTTAGCACCGGGTGGCCACGGGCAGGAGCCCAGGGTCCCAGTGCCCCCCCCAGCCCCCAGCTTGCCGAGCGAGCGCACCTTCATAGTTGATGCAGCCATTGGAGTCTTCCTGCCCCGCCATCAGTTTCTCCACCTCATCTTCTGTCAGCCTCTCACCTGGCCCAGGAGGCTGAGTCAGCACCGCGGGAAGGGTACGAAGTGGGGGGGGGGGGGTAGCACAGAGCCCCTCTGGACGATGGGATGCCTGCCTAGTACTCCCACACCTCACAGCCATCCCAGCTCACAAGGCCTTGGCCATCACCCCCATTTCTGAGACCAGGAGAATCAATGACAAGTCAAAAAGGGGGGGACCTGGGGTGCAGGACTGGTGCACCCTCCGAGCCTGGGCTCTGTCCATAAGAGTACCAGCTTGGTGTTCAAGTCCCCAGCACACACTGTCCCCTTTTCTCGGCAGGCTGCTGGGGACCCCTTCCATCAAGGCCCGCCAGTCCCTCGGGGCAGCCTTTTGAGGCTAGAGGAAGGGCCCTTGGGGCGGAGCTGAGGGCCTTGGGGGATGATGGTGGAGGAGACAAGGAGACAACAACTCTGTTCTCCAGACAAGTCTGCCACTTTCCTGCCTCTGGGTATTGCGTGCTGCACTGGTCCCCCCACTGGAATGGGGGGTGACCTCCTACCCCCAGCCACACACACACAAAACCCCAGAGACCAGCCCAGGGCCAGACACACAGTAGGAGTTCAGTTAATGTCTGGTGCAGGGAAAAGTTGCTTTGAGCAGATATAGTAGGTGCTCAATAAACATTTCTGTACGAAAATCTCCTTTGAGAAGGGGGTCAGTCAGCCAGATGATGGGGTCAGGATGCTCAAGAGGCAGGCCCCTTACCTACTGGGCCACTTCGTTGCTCTGTCCTGGAATCTGACCTTGAGACCATGAACACCAGGACTGAACCGGTCCTGCTGGATGCACACACTGCCCCCCACCCCCCGACCCTGTCCCCAGAGCTGTCCTCATCCCCCTTCGTTTCCGTGAGCTGCACCAACACACTTTCTTTGTCCCTACCTAAACTTCTAAACTCCCCACATCTCTGTCACCTGCCACGGAGGCCCCTTGACCGTGTCACTCTGTCCTCTTCACAGATCAGATACGGGCTCAGGGGGTGACAGAGGGGTCTTGCCCAGGATGCCCCCCCAAAGGAGGAGTGGGGGTGAGGAGAAAGGGGCCCTCACCTAGCGTGGCCAGCACATGGCGAAGCTCGGCGCCCATGACCGTGCCATTGCCCTCCTTGTCGAAGACCCGCAGCCCCTCCACAAAGTCCTCGTAGGTGCCCGTGTCCTTGTTCTTGGAGATGTGCTGGAGCATGGGCAGGAAGGTGTCGAAGTCCATCATCTTGGTGTTGAGCTCTGGGGAGGTACGGCCACTCTGAGGGGCAGGACGGGCACAGCCTTCCCCCCGGGGCGGCAGAGGGCAGAGCTACTGCCCTCACACCGTCCCAAAGCACTCTACACCAGCTGGCCATTTACAAACCACATCCCCATCAAGGGCACTCTACAGTCAAGCGAGACACGCATCATTTACGTAACCGTTTGCTGTTCACAGGGACAGTTTGCTGCTGGTTTTCTTACAGACCCCACCCTCACCACCACCGGGGATTGCTCAGGAGCAGTGGGGCCACTCAGAGACCTTCCCTGGGACTTTGCAACCTGTGGAGGGGGCCTGGGTCCCACGCCTCCCTGGGGCAAAGCTGGCAACCCTCTTGTGGCAGAAGTGGCGAGGGAGTCTGGCCCTGAACGCCAGAGAGACGCGGCGGAGACCAGGAGGTGGTCACTGAGGCTGGGTGGCAAATGAGCATGGTGCGGGATGGTTCCGCAAACTCACTGCTTGTTACTGTCTCAGCAAGGCCTGAGACCTGCATCTGTATGCACGAACGCATACCAACCTTCCTGCTTTGGTCTCCCTAGGACACGGAGCACCTCGGCCTGTGTAGGGTTCTGGCCCAGCGCCCGCAGGACGTCCCCGCACTGCCCGTACGTGATCTTCATCTCACACTTGGGCGTGCGGTCAAACAGCGTGAAGGCTTCCTTGAACTCTGCCGGGAGAGGGTGTGAACTGTGGACACTCCCAGAGTCCGCCCCACTCACCCCACAATGGCCAGACTCTCAGACTGGGGGCCCTGGGTCCAACCCTGCAGCCCCTGGGCTCAAGATCCTCACTTACCTTCAATCTGCTCCGGTGTAAACTCGATCTGAAAGGAGACCGCAAAGATTCTGAGTGCCCGGCTCAGAGGGTGGGGCCAGATCTCCACCTGCACACTCCATGGACACAGCCCAGGCCTCAACCTCTTGGCTGCCCCATGTGTCCCCCTGGCTCTCCCCATCGGGCTGGCCAGTGAAAGCCAGGAGGCTTTGCCAGGAGGCTGGCAATCTCCCCCTGCCAGCATCCCAGCTTCTGCCCCCATGACCTCCTGCCATCTACCTTGGCACCTTCCTGCCTCCTCACCCCTCCCAGCCTGTGCGAGCTGAGGGCCTTGGGTCCGCGTGTGCCCAGACCCTGATGGCTGGTGGGCCACATCTGGGGAAGGGCGAGAAGGCTGGCCTGGTGCCCTGAGTCCCCAGCCCAGGGTAGCCCACCTGATGTCCTTGGTCCTGGATGGATGTGTCTGAAGCCAGCAGATGTGACCAGGCTGGCTTTGCCACCCCCCAGCAGGCCTGGGGCTCGGTGGGCAAGGCTGTCCACATGAGTGAGCGTGGGTTTCTGTCAGCATGAGAGCATATCCATAGGAGTGTGTGCGTGTGCACGCACCAGCGCCTGTGTGTGTATGTGTGTAAGATGTACCTGTGGGTGTTCACACACGTGTGTGTCTGCAAGTGTTTACATATGCTTGCCCCTCACAGAGACCTCAAGGCGGGGCGCTGTCACTCACATGGCCCTGCCTACACCTGGGTCTCACACACCCCACCCACAAGCCCCGGGCAGCCCCCACCCCAGCACAGCCTGGGGACACGGTGGTGGTGTTGAGTGTTCACTGAGGCCACATCAGAGAGCCACCTGAGGTCAGGAGGCCTCCTGGGACCCGGTTTCCCCCTCCTCACCGGATACCAGGTCTATTTTTATCATTGCAGTCACTCGCCCCAAGGTCAAGGTCGCAGGAGGGAAAGGAGCTTGGGAGAGAGGGCATGCCTGGCACGTCTCCCACTGCCATTCCCTGGGAGCCCCACCAACCTCCAGGGCACACCTCGGTGCAGAGGGATATCCTGCCCGGCCACCTTGCCATGCTCGTCCCTTTTGGCTCTGGGACTCAACCCCATGTTGGAAGAACAAGTTGTTGCTCCTGGCCCCTGAGAGCTCTCTCACCACCAGGAAGCCTGCTGAGATTAGACTCCTGAGCCTCCTGGCAAAGCCTCCTGCCTTTCACTGGCCAGCCCGACAAGGAGAGCCAGGGGGACACATGACGGGCTTCACTGTGCCCTCCCCTCACAAGGGAGTCTGTTAGCCAGTGAGACTGAACCAGGCCACGAGGGGACCCGCGGGACACAAGCTTAGACCCTGGGGGTGGTTGGGGGCTCAGAGAGCCAACTCCAGGGACCACTTTCCCTGAACAGTTCCCAGGAGCCTGCAAGGAGGGCTTCTTGTCCCATGTCACATCTGAGGAAGCCACGAGCAGGGAACAGGATGGAGCAAATTTGGGATTGGAACTCATGTCTTGAGGGACAAGGTAGGCCCCCCCAGGAAGGGACCACAAAGATAGTTCTGTGCAGTCAGGCTGCAGGTCTGGCTGGACAGGCAGGAGCCGTGAGGAGCTGGGAGGGCTCCACAAGGCCTCTCAGCCAGCAGCCAGGACAGCAGTGACCGGTGGCCAGCCAAGAACAGGGAGCAGGCAGGACACACGGTGCGTGCCACTCTGCAAATGTCACGGGAGTCATGGCTCTTCCTCCAAGTTTAGGCTCAGAGAAAGACTTCCTAAGTGGGGACGGGCTCTGGGTCCACTGGTCACAGCCCCAAGACCAATTTCCTGAGTGAACTACTCAGCCTGTGCCTCAGTTTCCCTACCTAAAAGCTGAGGCCCAACCAGCTCTGGGGCTCAGCTGCCCTGGTAGGGGTGAGTGTGACCTAGCCTGGGCAGGGGCCTCACTTCCCCATGCCCCCCACCCTGGCCACCCCGGGGGGCTTGGCATGGACCTGACACCCCACAGCGGAACAAGGAAGATCTCTATCTGGCTGCAGGGGTTGGGGTCTGGGCGGCTCCAGGATTCCCCAAGAATGTGAGGTCCAGGGAGAAGGGCAAGGGACAGTTTCCAAAACCACCCAAAGACTTTCCCTTCAGTAGCCCTGGGGGAGTCCTGCCTGATGTCTGACCACCAGCCCTCCTGCTGCAGCCCTCCTGATGCCTGAAGCGCCCCCCTCCCGGGGGCTTGTCTGACCTCTGCACAGACGCTTCCAACTTCAGCCCAGCCCTCGCTTTCTGGGTAGGTCCACTCCAGGATCCACTTACCTGCCCTGTCTTTCCTGCTGAAACCCAGCCCCCACACCCACCTTGATTTTGGAGCCATCAAACTCAGGTTCCTTGGGGGGCTCGGGCGCAGGCGCAGGTGCAGGCGCCGGAGCGGGAGCGGGAGCTGCCTTGGAGGCTGCCTTGTCGTCCTTCTTGGGGTCTGGCTTTTTGGGGGCCATGGAAGCTGTAAGCACGGAGAGGGACAGGGACAGAGGGAAGCAGAGAGCAGGGTAGGTGAGTCTCCGGAGCCTGGCCTTTATCCTGTCCGGACACCTCCTGACCCCAGCCCCACCCCCCCAGTGCACAATAGGGACAGGGCCATAAAAGGACATTGGCTAAGCTCAGGGGCTATTTTGGGGCCCGGGGAGGGCATTGTTCAGGCTCAGGAATGGGTGGGGGAGAGGGAGGGCTCTCATTCCTCCCAATCACCTGTTGGGGAGGGGGAGGGGGAGCAGAGGACTGAGGCCACGGCTCAACGCACACTCACCCTCCAATGCACACGCACGCATAGGCACAGCAACCCTCAGCAGGTGACAAATCGAACAGGACCAGAGGCTGGACCAAGCATGTGCTATGGTGCGCCAGGACTGTGATTACCCAAGGGCACCTCCTGAGTTAAACTTCCCGGCTGTGCATCGAATTCCCACGTGTCCATGGCAGGGAAGGGGGACTCTGCGTATGTCTGTTTATCTACGGCGGGAGCATCTGTGTGTATCAGCGTACTGTCTAGGTGTCTTCACATTTGGGGGGGTCCTTGTGTGCTTCATCTGTGTGTCTGGGGGTGACGGCCCATGCCTGTGTGTGTGTCGGCTCGGCGGGTCTGCGTCTGGGTGTTTATACGCACGCACGTGTCTGTGTGTGTCTCCGTGTCTCCGTGCGTGTGTCTGTGAGTGCCGTTTCCGTGTGTTTGCGGCTGGGTGTTTATATGTATCTGTGTGTGAGGGTCTGGTCACAGCTCGCAGGCAGCTGCAGCCCCAGCCTGAGGGGCCCCAGAAACACCACCAGGGGCAATGGAATGGGTCCCACTCCCCCGAGGGCACAGCCACCCAGCCCAGCCGGGGAGCCTAGCGGCCCCCACAGCCCCCTTCACCTGCACCGGCTGGCCCTGCCCCTAGCTCCTCCATTTCACCCCACTTCCTATCTCCTCTCTTCCCTGCACCGGCCTGTGGCCCACTTTACCCACACAGCTCGGGGCCGGCCCTCGCCAGACCCCCGTACCCCCTGCCCCGTTTGCAGGGGTGCCCTTGCCCCTCCTCTGCTTGGCGCATTCCAGGCCCCGCAACCCCCTCTCCCTGGAAGCTCCTTGTCTGTGTCCCACGGACCCACGCTTGCCCCTGCTGGTCCTTTTCGGGGGTGGGGGGGCTGGGGGAGGGTCTGCATCTCTGAGGGACCTCAGGGAGCTGAGCGAGGTTTTCCCCCTGGTGCCCACCCCATTGCCCAGCCCTCAGCAGATGGCAGGGACCGAGGGCAGCCTGGCCAGGCCACCATTTGGGAAAGTCAGGGAGGTGGGAAGGCTGAGGTGGCATGAGGCCCCTCTGGGCAAACGTCCTTACTTCTGAGAGTAAGGACATCTTGCAAGCACATTGGGCTCCCTTCCTCTCCTGGGCGTCTGTGCCGGGGGTGGGAAGGAGGTGCTCCTTGTTATTTTTAAGTGCCTGGAGCCTTTGATAGAAACTTCAGAGGCAATGCCCCCCCTCTCCAGGCCCTGGGAGGAATTCCTGGGTGTGGAGAGGGGCTGGGGCCAGAGCCTGAGGCAGGATTTATGGGGGGAGGGGGACTCTACCTGGAGTCCCCCCACTGTCTTCCTGCTGAGCCCAGGTCTCTCTGATCTTATCACTCCTCCTCATGGAGAGGGGGACAGCAGTCGAGGGATGGGGTCCGGGCCCCCTCCTAGCTGAAACACAGAACATTCCTCCCCTCATCTGGAGGGCAGAACACCCCACATCTGGAAATCTGACAACATCCGGTGCTGGGGGGGAGGCAAGTTTTTCACTTTCCTTCCAGATGTTTGGCAAGAGTATTGAGAAAAAAAGGGGTGGGGGGAGGGTCCACAGAGACGAGCCAGAAATACCACAAGAGAACACAGCCAGAGGGGGACACACAGAGAAAGGCCTCTGGGCAGCCCCATTGCCCAGGCCCACTGGCCCTCATGGGGACTCCGGCCACCCACAGGCACAGCCAAGGCATTACCCAATCCCTTTTCATTCATCATGGGTGAAACCGAGGCCCAGGGCAGAGGACATACTCAGGGTCACCCAGACTTCTGATCTCATTTCTTTCATCCACACATAACTGCCATGCCTCAGAAACCACCCAACACCAGCCTGAACCAGGGCAGGTGAGTGACATGGGGCTCCTGAGCCTCAGCCGCCAGGTCTGTGCTATGGGATGGGCAGGCTCACGCAGCCAGTCAGAATCACACAGCACCACCTCCTCCGCCTGGGGGAGCGTGGCTGGGGGGCGGGGAGGGGGTCTCGGTCCCCTTCCCTCGTGCACAGGGCAGATGCGGTCCTGCAGTGGGGACACGGTGCACAAAGCCATCATCCACTCCCTCCCCAGGGCTCAGATGGAGAGGCTGGGGTTGGGGCTCCTGGGAGCACTCTTAAGCTAGAACTAACCCCCAGCCCCCAGCAGGGGCTCTGCCGAGGTCAGCCCTGTCTACAGCCAGCAGGCTAGGCTGTTGAGGCCAGAGGCAAGGCAGGGGCTGAGCAGGGGGTGGGGTGTTATAAGAGGGAGGGGCGGTCAGTGGGCGGTAAGGGTGGGCCACACTAAGGCTTGGCTCTCCTCTCTCCCCCAAGTCCCAGCCTGAGCTCTGTGCCCCTCAGGAATGACAGCCAGCAGGCAAGATCCAGGCAGGGCCTGAGGGGTCTGGAGAGCCTGGGGACAGGGGTAGGGGTCGGAATACTACCACCCCTTTGGTTCCTCCAACTCCAACGTCTGAGTGGTGACCCAGTCTGATGCAGACTCCCAAGTCCCACATTCCAGAGCGCCCCCCCATCTCCCCAGCCAAGGAGAATACTGGGAAAGATGTGGGCCCTGACTTCTGAGGGGCCCATGGATAGAGGCAGAAGACATTTGGCCCCACTGGCCTCCTTCTAGGTTATTTCCAGCCCTGATACCTTTGCATAGGCTGTTTCCTCCCCTCATACCCTTGGCTGGGACCCTGGCCATGGCTTGCTCCTGGTCACCCCCTGGTCTCGGGGATATGTCACCTCCTCTGAGAAGCCTCTTCAGACGACCCTGGACCTGTTCCCTCTGCCTTTTCTCTCACCCTGACTCTCCATCACTGTGCACCCTGAAACGAACCTGTTTCTTTGTTATCTTGTTTCTCCTGTGGATGCCCTCCATCCCATGAGTGTCAGCCAGCATGGGAGTTTTTGCTGTCCCGCATCTATATATCCCCAGAGTCTCCAGCAGAGCCCAGTTCACAGGAGGCACTCAATGAGTGTGGGATGAGCAAATGTCCCAAACATCTCAACTTACCCATTTCTCACAGGGGGACTGGGACCCATTGCCAAATGCTATCCATGGCATGGGGTCAGGAGAGATGGCGGGGGGGTTGCTGGCAGACCGGCTAGAGCCTGGGTCATTGCAAGGGGCACTCCGGGACAGCAGGGCAGCCAACAGCTCCTGCCACATCAACCCAGGCCTGCTCTGCCTGCCACTCCCACCCCCTGGCTGAGGGTCTTCTCAGTAGCCTGAAAAGGCCAGGTGACTCCATGGTCTCAGCAGCGACTTGACCATGAGGAGCAGCCAGCAGGGGGCGTAAAAGGGATAGAAACCAGCCTTTGGATCCAAACCCAAACCCCAGAACCCAGGATCCCAGCCCAGAACCCAGACTCCAGACCTGGAACTTGGAACTCCAAACCCAGACTCCAGACTCAGGTCTCAGGATCTGAACCCCCAGCTTAGAACCTGGAACCTGACCGCACTCCGGGGACCCAGACTTTCAAACCCAGGATGCCAAACCCAGAACTTGAATCCAGACTCCAGACCCAAGAGCCTAGGTGGAGGACCAGGACCCTAAACCCAGAGTCTGGATCCAGGACTCAAGACCCAGGACCCAGGACCCAGGACCCAAGACCCAGGACCCAGGACCCAGGACCCAGGACCCAGGACAGGGGCTGCTGGCCTTCCAGAACGGCACTGCCTGTGGCTCTGTGTAGACAAGGGTGGGGAAGGGGGGAGGGTAAAATCTTGGCAAAAGGCGGGGGTGAGTGCTTGGCAGACCTTCCTGGTAGTGTTCCTCTGAGGGGCATGAGGAATGTCCCTCATCCTGACGGAGCCAATTTGGGGAGCTCAAAATATGGTGGCCACGTGGAGGGGGTGGTGGAGGGTGACGGGAGGGAGGGATGGCTAAGGCCTGGCCATTCTTTGGGCCCAGGAGCCAGGGGCAGGGTAGGAGGGTCGGGCTCTAGTCCCCCTGGCCGCAGGCCCCACAGGCTGCCCTGGCCCGCCCCAGACCGCCCCTCCTGGCCCGAGGCCTCTGGGCTGGGATGCAGGCCCACACTTCCCGGAGGAGTCGAGAACGCGGCCTGCGCCAGACCCAGAGCCTTAGAAGTAGGTCAAGTGTTGCTGTGCAGTAGGTCCTGGGGGCCCCGTCCAGGCGCAGGCAGGCCCGTGGGTGGCAGCTCACCCACCAGGGCACGCATGTATATCCACACACACGTGAACTCACCGCCACACGGTGGGTGCCCAGAAGCACAGACCCCGTGCAGGGCCCCCAGCCCCCGCCCAGCTGCACAGATGGGGGCATTGAGGCCCCAAGTGGGGCAGGAGCTGCCCAACCGCTTCTGGCCAGAGGTGGCACGAGGCAGCCACGAGGACCGGGAGGAGAGGAATTTCTGCACCATCCCACGGTCCCGGATCCTTGGGTGAAAGTCTGACTCCAAGGAGGACTTCCCAGCAGAGCTGCTCTGCCACCAGCAGGATGTGGCCTGCTTCCCAGAGCACAGCCCCAGGCCTTGAAAGATGGGAAGGAGCGGCCAAGGGGGAGGCAGGAGACTCCTTATGCTCTTGGGATCCAGGCTGGTCCTGGCTCCTCTGGCCTCCGTTTCCCCATCTGTACAATGGTCACAGGTGCGGCAAGGCGACAGTCACTGCCCCGGAGCCCCGGCCCGTCCTCGGCACCCCCACACCACACACAGACAAGTCTGTCCTCCGCAGGCCAAATACAACCCTAGGCCCCTCCCTCTGCCCACTGTGCTGACGGGGACCAGATGCTCCAACCTTGTGGTTCTGGGGTGG